AAAATCTTTCTAAAAACAATGTTTAAATGTACATATAAATTAACATATTAGCCTGGAGCTTAAGTTTACAAATTTTCAACTTTCTTGAAATTCTACATTCAAAATGTAGAAGTCCAAGGGGTTCTTGAATTTGATACTAAGATTGCTCTAAGGCTTTTAGAAACAGGTATAAAATTAGAATATATCTAAACTTTATTTGGTTACCTGGAATGAAAAAAAATGAATATACAATTTTAAAAATGATCAACTCAAGATATAAATTGAAATCTTGGGCTTTCAAAGCAAGTAGTCCATGATTTCAACTGACAGGCAGCATATAACTTCTGTATACAAATCATGGTTGATTTACTCAAGGTTGAAAGAGAACTGGATTTTGGCCCTAATTCTATCACTTAGGCAAGTCACTTGTGCCGAACCTACATTCACACTGTTTGTGATGTTTAAAAAGTTTGAGAAACATAATTTCTGAGTAATTGATCATTTTATTAATAATGCTAGCATTTTACTAATAAAAGGAGCGGTCATTTCGCCATCTCTCTTGAGCCAAAGACGACTCAGGATGGTGAGTTCACATTTATAGGCTCTTAGAAAAGGGGGTGCACCTGAGGGTAGAAATCAACCCTGACTGGTTAACAAGTAATGAGAGAATGAATATTATAACAAGAGATGGGCTTATTCTAATGAAAGTCTTGACACTGACCACCCAAATCTTGGTCAAAGAGATTGATCAATTCCCATATTACCTGGACAAAAGGGGGAATCCATATTTTCCCAGACCTGTCTGAATAAACATAATGAGCAGAAATCCACCCATTTGCCTAAACTTAGAATTTCTTTACCATCTTTGATTAGATCTTAGCCATCCTGGCTGGGTAAATCTCTGCCCAAGATTTCGCCCACTGGTTGATTTCTGGATGGGGAAGCAGAAAAGGGGGAAAACCTTGGTTCTAACTAAATAATTAGCTATTAATATATGAAAAAAGGAATCATTTCTCTCATTGTTTATAAAAGCAAACAGTTACATAGTGCTGTAAGGTTGGCAAAGCACTTTACATATCACAACAACCCTGTGAGGGAGGTACTATTATTATTGCCATTTAAAAGATGGGGATGGACAGAGGTATAAGTAACCCGCCCAGGATCACACAGCTAATGTCTGAGGCAGGATTGAACTCAGTTTAGCTGCCTAGACACATAAGAAGAATAAATAAATAAAATTTGAGTTTACCAAAATAAATACTCTGCCCCAAGATTTACTAGAAATTATTCCTATATGCTGCATCTCCATAGTTCCCTAAAAGAAAATTTTCAAAAAACAACCACAAAAACTTTACTCCATTTGCTTCCTAATGCCAATGTTTGATAAAAGTTTGAAAATATTTTTAAAAATTTATACAGCAAGCAAATAATTCTACTCTAATATATGGTAAAAACTTATTTGGACATAGGCAAAGTTCTCCCAGCATTCAAATGTGTATTAAATGCATACAAAACAAAGAATCATAAGGAAAAGCATGTCCTTAGAGATCATCTAGCACAATTTCCTTATTTTATAGATAAGGAAATTGAGATCCAGAAAAGTTAAGTAACTCAGGCAGCTAGGTTTGGGTAACATTATATATGTAAATGAGATAATAACTGGAAAGTGCTTTGGGAGCCTTAAAGCATTGTATAAATAATTGTTATTTTTATTGTTATTGTTACTTTCCCAAAGTCACACAGCTGGTAAGTAGCAAAGCTTGAATCCAATAATACTAATAATAATGATAATAATAATAGCTAGCATTATAATGTTCACTCATTTAATAACAAAACAATGGCTACTATACTACACTGCCTCGTGCCCTTGATATGCTTTATAGATAAAGAGGAGGTAATAATGAGCTGTTCTTTACGAATCTCCTTTATATTTTACTATGAAATAAAGTGATAGAAGTAGCAGCTTAATTAAAATGACTAGGTTTCTTTACATAGGAAAATGAGACTTAATAAGGTTTTTTGAAGACAAGGTAAGTTGTTTGATGATTAAATAGGTTGTAATTCCCTGCCATATTTCATTCTTAAACTTTTAGTATAAGAAAAATCCACTAAATAATACCTCGGGAAACGTACATCTCTCTTCTTGTCCAGTGTTAGTGATGGTCCTTAAACTGATAAATCTGTTATCTCAGACAAATGATGCAAAACGAACCCATGGTGCTTATTATGGACCATCATTCTTGGCTTCTGTTCTCTAGCCATAGTGATATTGCTCCATTTCAGCACTTGAGAGAGCTCTGATTTGGTTACCATAATCCCTCCACATTTGAGTAGATCGTCTCTGAAATTATCAGTGGCTGAAAAACTCAATACCCTGTGGCTGACCTGGTTGAAGAGTCTCTCAGAACATCATGAGGCTACTCTTCAGAAAACACGCACGCTCTATCACAGTCTAGCACAACTTTTAATACGCTGGAGTAGCCTTCCAAAACACAGCCTTGCCTCCTTGCTACAATGAGGCACTGAGAGATGACTTGAGAGGAGAGTAAAATCTACCTTTAAAGAAAAACAACCCTTGGGAACTTAACAAAAAGTTTATTTTTATGCTGCTAAAACCAAGCAATTTATTTACAAAAGCCTTAGGTAATGCTGTTTCTTTTCTCAAGGCACCACACTCGTGGCTTGTTTTGTTTTGCATTCCCCTAACTTACTATGGGGATGTATCAATTCTTTGGGGCAGCAGGTGGTGCAGTGGATATAATGCTAGGCCTCGAATCAGAAAGACTCATCTTTATGAGTTAAAATCTGGCCTCAAACACTTCCCAGCTGTGTGACTCTGGGCAAGTCACTTAATCCTGTTTGCTTCAGCTTCCTCATCTATAAAATGAGCTGGAGAACGAAATGGAAAATCACTCCAGTATATTTGCCTCCACCCAAAAAAACCACCCAAATAGGATCACAAAGAGTTGTACATAACTGAAAGGACTGAATGACAACATAATTTCATTGGTTTGAGTGGCCTTTCCACCAGTGCAAATCACAACTCTTCCATACTTTAGTATAGAAGGTCTTAATGAATTTCAGAGTCTTTCAGAACTTATCTAGGCTAGTCTTTGGGCACCAGTTTGGTAGACACAGGTTAAAATTTACTGCTATCATCATTAAAAACCCAGGGATTACTCTCATATCACAAGTTATGAGAACTTTAGCAGAGGATTTTACACCTAAATGAATTTTAAAAATTCATCATGTTCACGTGGAAAGCACTATATTCTAATCAATAAAAAAAATAAACACAACCAAAGTAATACCGTACTTCCCTCCCCATCTCCCAAAGGGAATGATTTCACTCCACCAAGTTCAAAGTTCCTCAAATACTTAGATACATGACTGTAATGGCAAAGCATTTCACCTCGGTTCCCACTGATCCAAAATCTAGCAAGGTGGCACAAAAGCTCTAAGCAGCTCCTAAACCACAGAATCATGGCAGGTACATCATGAGACCATGAGGAATCTGTTCAAAAGCAGCCAAATAGGGCAGCTAGGTGGCACAGTGGATAGAGCACCAGCCCTGAAGTCAAGAGGACCTGAGTTCAAATCCAGCCTTAGACCAAACACTTCACACTTACTAGCTGTGTGACCCTGAGCAAGTCACTTAACCCCAATTGCCTAAAAACTAAAAAAAAATTTAAAAAAGAGTAGCCAAATAGTCAAGAGCATAATTAGTGTTGGGCAGTTCATACAAGGCGATGCTGGATAGCGTTCAATCATACAGAGCAGGGTATGTCAGCAAAAGGCAGGTGCAATCTTTGTTTAGTCCTTCACTTTTCTTATTGGGCTAGATGACCTTGAAGGTTACATCTACCTCTCTAAATTTATCATCCTACAAACCATTTCTGTTGCACTGGTAAGTCTGTATTCCTTACTTTAAAAAAAACCCCTCCTATTCCTAATATAGGATTTTATGCCTATTTGTTATATTTTCTACATTTTTATTATGTTATTTTCTTTATATTTTATTATGTTTTCCAAATTTTCATTATATTATATTCATTTCATTATATTCAACATTTTATATTATATTTCATTATATTATTCATTATATTATAAGTATTTGTGTATGTCCTTTCCCCTACTAGATTATAAGCAATATGATGGAAAGGACCATGCCCTATTCTTCTTTATATTCTCCCAGAGTACTTATTATAGTACAGTCTACCTAGTGCATACTCAGTAAATATTTATTGAATAGGAGTATCTGTACTGAATTTACAACTTATATTTTAATAATTTAATTATTAAAATGTTATAATAATATAATATTATGATAAAGTATGTGATAAAGTGATAAAAATAATACCTAATAATTTATAATAGTTATATATTATATTATATGTCATATATAATTATTATATTGATAAATAAAGTATGTGATAAAATTAATACTGTTGTCTTTCTCCCCCTTGATCTTCCATTGGCTCTGGATATATATTTCCCCCAAAATATTTGTATTATCTTTAACATAAGAGTTAACAAAATATTAAGAGGAAATAATATGTGTGAGACCAAACTGTTTAAATATATGTTATGTTTTTAAAGGAAAAATGACTATGTAGGATTTAGAAGTGAAAATATTGTCAATATCCCTACAATTTTCATTCACCAGGAAAGCAAACACACTTTATATTTTGCACAAACATGTGGTTCAAGGCATAGTATATTGAAAGACTAAATATAAAACCAAACTACTCCAAGACATAAACAGCTTTCTTTCCATTTAGCATAAATAGTTGTCATCATTACAGAGCCCCAGTAGTAAGAAAGTACGCTCCCTTAGTATTTCTGGACAACTTTACAGAGATTTGGTAAGCCCAATTTGGAAATTATTTCATTACTCCCGCTGAGGTAAGGTTTAGTCATTGGCAGGTTTTCAAATGTAATCTAGCACAAAGATATTGTCATATAAGCTCCATATATGGTATTTTAATAAGTTAAAATAAAATTATTTAAAATATTCTTACCTCAAGCTGAACTCTTTGTTCTAAATTCTTATAGGTCCTTTGTAATAACTCTTTGGTTCCAAGGACCCCGTACCACATCATGTTTTTAGTTCGGCTCCTGAAAATAAAATTATTTAATGTACTAAAATGTGCAATTTCAGTAAAATACTAATTATTTTGCCTTCAAATAAAAATCATTTTTGTAAAAATATCAAGAGTCATGAAATTAAAGTAAAATTATCACTTTACAATAACAGTGTCTTGCAAATTACAATAACAGTGTCTTGCAAAATTTAATTAACTGACTATGCCCAAAGGGCTATAAAACCATGCATCCCTTTCATCAAGCAATACCACTCTATAACCCAAAGAGATTTCTCAAAAAAGGAAAAGGACCCATATGTATAAAAAATAGCAGCTCTTTTAGCAGTGGCAAAGAACTGGAAATTCAGGGGATGTCGATCAATTGGAGAACGGCTGAAAAAGTTATTGTATATTATTGTGGTGGAATACTATTATGCTATAAGAAATGATAAGCAGGATGTCCTCAGAAAACCTGGAAAGCTTATGTGAACTGATGCAAAGTGAAATGAGCAAAACCAGGAGATGTTTAACATTGTACATAGCAATTTTGTATGAAGATCAACTGTGAATAACTTAGCTATTCTCAGCAATACAATGATCCAAGACAATTCTGAAGGACTTATGATGAAAGGTGCTGCCCATCTCCAGAGAAAGAACTGGTAGAGTCTGAATGCAAATTGAAGCATACTTTTTCTTTATTTTCTTAATTTTTCCTGTCTGTGTTTTCTTTCACAGCATATCTTATACGTAAATGTGTTTTGTGTGACTACATATGTATAACCTATGTCAAATTGCTTGATTTCTCAATGGGGGGGGGGGAAGGAAGCATGTAGGGAGATAATTTGGAACTCAAAGTCTGAAAAAAAGAATTTTAAAATTGTTTTACATGTAATTGGGAAAAAATTAAAATATTAAAAAATTTTTGAAAACAGTAAGATTTAATTACCTGCATTTTTCAGGGTGTTCCTCTCGTTTATTGTTAAACTCCAATGAAATTTTTGCATCTAATCCAATTCCAAAGTAATTGTTCATGACACATTTTTCTGAATACCCTTCTCTACATTAAGAATAAAAATAAGATACAACATCAGGTACACAGAAACAATTGTAATCATTACACATAAATGTAGCATTTAGAATCGCCTTTATTGAGACCGACTATTCTCTCAGGGAAAAGGAACAGAGTTGAGGTTTCACATAAAAGTGAGCAAGAATCACTCTCCATCTTTGAGCATAGACTGCAACAGTATTGAAAGACCAAGGTGCTGTAAAGGATACAAATAAACATAAGACATCATCTCTTAAAAACATAATCATTTAATGAAAATTTTATATAGACGATATAGATATCTATTTACATACATCATATACATGTATATGTATAACAAGCATGTGTGCATGTGTACATATAAACGTATATACTTTTGCTGTCATTTCAAAATTTTCATAGTAAGGAGAGGAAAGAAGAGATGAGAGGAGAAAGGAGGAGGAAGAAGAGGAGAGCAGAGAGGGGAGGAAAGAAGAAAGGGTAAGGGAGGAAGAGAAGAGGTGAGAGGAAGGGAGAGAAGAGGCGAAGACAGAGAAAAAAGCTGAAATAAAATATTCATAAATACAAAATGTATTTTCTTACAGTGAATCTGGATCTGGGTCAATAAATGGCGTAGCACCAAAGGGATCAATATTTGCTAGTAACATTTTGCTGATAATAGAACTCCCAGCAATTGAAGCTGCTAATCCTGCTCTTAAACCTGATGAGAAGGGAAAACACAAAAGAAAATAGTTACTACTTTTGTAGTAGAGGAATTGTCAAAAAATACACAAACTAAATGTAAACCACTAAAGAAAGAACTTATAGACACCAAAATTTTAATTTCTTTGAATAATCTTCAAAATGCAAATAAAAATGTAACCCTGGCATTGGAATAGGAGTAAAATCTGAGAGAATAAGACAGCAAAGCTTAGATGGATAAAAAACACAGGACTACAGCATCAAAACAAAGAGGGAAGAAGGAATGGTGAAGAGGGAAACAAGCAGTTGCAGGTATAGTACACGTTGGGGAATTAGTAAAACACTATTTCCTTAGCATGACTATTCTCCTCCATTCTTTTAACAACCACAACCCCAAATTTATTTTCTTCAAGACATATTATTACTTGAATTATTAGTAGTGAGGTCTGGCCCACCATAAAAAGATGAGCTTAATTTTATTCTGACACCAAATCTAAAAGTCTTAGAAATACTACAGTTTGTTAAAAAATGAATGTTAAATTTTTTACATGCAATATAAAAAAATAAAATATTTAACAAAGAACAAAACCAAAATAAATACTACAGCTTGTCATTTCAATTTACTATTCATTCAAACTTCCAGTAACAGACCTATTTATTTTTCAGAATGTCATTGGGGGCTAACTTTCTATCCAGCAAGCCTGCAGTGCAATTCTTTCCAGATCTTGACAGAACCCCAATCTAATTCTAAGGGACCTTAGTAGCAGGTTGGTTTGAAGACCTCATTCCTCCATCAGTCACAACCTACAAAGAAGTTGAGGAAAAATCTAAAAGTCTCCAAGTACAGTGTCCAAGTCGATGGGGACACCCATTAACTATTTATTTATCCCACCCCAACCAAAAATTTTCTGGATTACTTTAGTCATGGTCCAAAGCCAGACCAGACTAATCTCAGGTGCTTAATGTTTGTTCCAGTCCTAGACTACCCCCCTCTGATAGGTCTCCAGAAGCAGAGGAGAATTTAGTGACCTAAAAATGGCCAAGTGTGGTGCCACAAATGTTATCAGAAAAATCTCTTATGTGAACTTTAAGTTACAGTCATTAAAAACATGATTTCTTGATTCTGGGAGAGTTAACATGTTTCAGAGTTGTTACTACCTGGACAAATTATTCTGGTATTAAGCACAGGAAGATTTTCTTTGTTGGATGTCAATACTGGACCAGAAATTGAGATAGGCTGGTTGATACATGTATCTGGGGACCGAGGTGCAGTTTTAACTGTTGGCAAAAAAAAAATCTAGATTAGAAAAAGAAGTAATAATATACCCTCAAGTAGACACACATGTCCATATAGTCAAGATTCAAAGAAAAGGAAACTGGGCTTAAGGGGAAATCAGGATTCTTCTATCTAGTCCTTTTTTGTTTACTTTTATTAGGAACCAATATGTGAAGAAGATTCTGAGTTTATCTGATGCAGGGAGGTTTTTGGTTTCTGATTTCAGTCAGGATCATAAGATTTCAAGAAAGAAGGGGTGTCTGGAATAACCTAAGTTCATTTGAGAAATGAGGAACTGGGGCCTAGAGTGAGGAGGGACTTTCCCACGATCACATGGGTAAATAGTAGACTTGAATTTGGACACAGACTCTGATTCTACACCCAAAGTTCTTTTCACTATGTCACACCATGACAGAGAGAACAGTAAGCAAAAAGGCGGAAGAACATAATTATTTACATATATGGGTACAGTCAATGGAAATGTTATAGGTAAACAGAATTTATTAAGTCTAATGACTTTTGCAAACAACAGATTGTTTTGAGTAGGTGATTTTGTTTTAGTACACTTACCGGTCTGTATATCTGAGAAAGTTTTAATAATGCCTTTTACATAATAAGTACTTAATAGACATTAAGTTTAAATAAAATACTAAGAAATAACTGAAGAATTTTCTTTTACAGAGCTTTGGAAAAAAAGCATTTGACAGCAATATTTTGCTTTCAATCCAAATTAAATACACTAACAGCTATTGCCTTCATGTGATGTTAGTGCAAATCCTGATTGCCTCCACTGTTCTGCCACATACCATATGTATGCATAACATATATGTACATCAATATACTATTTATTAATTGAGGTGTTTTTTTAAAAGGAATTGTCCAATTATTTAGATTAGGATAATTTAATGGTCAAATAAAGTCTTCAATGGGGCAGGTAGGCAGCTAAGTAGATACAGTACCAGGCCCCAAGTCAGGAAGATGAGTCTTCCTGAGTTCAAATCTGGTCTCAGACACTTACTAGTTGTGTGACCCTGGGCAAGTCACTTAACCCTGTTTGCTTCAGTTCCTCATCTGTAAGATGAGCTGGAGAAGGAAATGGCAAACCACTCCAGTATCTTTGCCAAGAAAAACCCAAATGGGGTCACAAAGAGTTAGACGTGATGGGAAAGACTGAACAGTAACAATAACAAAATGTCTTCAACTAACTTGAAAATATCCTGGCAGATGATTTTAAAAACAACTTCCAAATTGAATTATCTTTTACTCTTCATGATGTGAAAACAGATTGCTAATCTTATAATTCAATTTTCGTTATGTTTTGGGACAGACCAGGTGCAATGAAAGAAAGCAGAGGGACAGCTGCTCTTTAGTTTGATAGATGGGACTCCTGGGGCTAAGCCGCCATAAAAATACCCTTTTGATGTTCATGCTCTGATAAAAACCAACAGTCCCAATGATAAAAACTGATGTTGCACTGATGGTAATTTAATTCATATTTCATTGTTTCTTCTTAAACGGAACATCCCACTGACAGCATTTATATGTACTATGCTCCATGCATTTTAGACATATGACTTATAATTTAACAATAATAAGCATGGGCTTAGGCCCAGAGGTAATGCATACTTAATAGAGAAGAACTATCATACCAGAATTAACTAATGATTCTTTTGGGGTCAGAATGATTGCCATCCAGAAAATAAGCAGATCTATAATTCTAGATAGATAGATAGATAGATATCAATATTTAACCAAATTTCTGTATTCACCAAAAATAAGCATACCATTTATAGGAGAAATAAAAATCTCAAATATCCATCCCTTAAATAGCTTCTAACATAAGAAAAGATGAAAAAAATTTGCTGAAGTTATTAGTTCATCAATCAATTAATAAACATTAAATACCTACCACATGCCAGGCACCATGTTAAGTGCTGGAAATACAAAAGGAGGCAAAAGACAGTCCCTGCACTCAAGGAGCTCACAATCTTATCAAAAAGCAACATATAAACATACTGATCATCAGCCATTAGTTCTGAGGAGTCTATCATAAAACCAGGTTGGAAAACTACAGCAGAAAGGTTAAATTGCACCATAATTTTACTATTCGCCTCTCACCAGATGGATACTCCTTTCCATCATCATCTTTATCTTCTTTAGAATATTCTGTTTCTCTACTGTCATCTAGGGGAGCTGACACCAGGTTACCCTCTTCATCGGTATGAGTATTCTGCTCATCTACAACTAGAAATAATAAGAACATGATAAATTTAGCATTTCTATAAGACAAAAATGATTGTAAGAATGGGAAAAAAAGTGAAAAAAATTATCTCCCTTTTCTTCCTAGAAACTTTAAGAGAATAGAAACACTAATCCAATAACGGCAGATGATTCAATGATAGTAACGGCATGGATTTTTGATATTATTGTTACTATACTACTTCAGATATAGTGTGACATAGCCTTGGAAATGGTAGACCTGGGGGTCAGGATTACCCCCTAAAAAAAGATATCTGGCAACTTTCTAAGCTTTTTTTAAAACTTTCTAACTTGCCCAGACAACTTTCTAGGGCCATGAATTGAAGAACTGGTGCAGTTCTACTTTGATAGAAGTTTACTCATTAAGTTGCTTATACCAATTAAATTACAATTCTGATTTTTTTTAAAAAATAGGCAAACAATACTCATTTAACTAAAATTTTATATTCACCTAAAAATATTAAATTTATAGGAAAAATAAAATGCCTATGTCCTATCAAATTACACTAACATAAGAGATAGAAAAATTTAGTCAAAAATTTTAACCCAAAAGCACTATTTAAATTGAAGACACTAATATGGAAATGTACTAAACTTTTCTCTATGTTACTGAAACAGCATATCTTTGTTTATTAAGAATTCAAAAGTTACCAATAAAATCAACTTCAATTTTAAAAGCATAAAATCAAGAGTAGTAGCTTGTAAGTAAATATTCTGAAATGAATATCACATGGAATTATTATCCAACCAAGTGAAACATTTGAAGGAATTCATTTTAAAGCCTGCTTTGCAGGGATTCAGTATAGTACTAATAAGATTCCACTTACCAATGGATTAAGAAAAAGCATGAACAAATTTTATTTTAGTGTTTCCATTTTCCACTGAGCTCATAAAATCAGTTTATTGAAAGGGTGCCAAGCTGCCTCAAAAGATGAAAACTATTTACATGATTGCACATGAATAACATATATCAGATTGCTTACCATCTCAGGGAGGGAAGGATAGAATTTGGAACTCAAAACTTTAACAAAATGTTAACAAATTATTTTAACATGTAATCAGGGAATAAAATATAATTAAAAAAAAAGATGAAAATGATGCTGCTGCCTAGAAGAAAGAATAGAAGCTTCATGGCCTTGACTTTGCTCAAGTGTACCTTTTTCAGCCTGTTCGATGATCTGCCTCACTGCTTTCTTTAAACTGTTTGCTCTCAACATTAATTCCTTTGGCTTGAAAGTTTTCTGTGCTGGAGTCTTTGGGGCACCCTCCACAATGCTTCCCCTGCTGTCAGATAAGGACTCTTCACTTGAAAAGTCCACAGATTCTCCTTCAACACTGGGAGGACCAGGATGTTTGAATACTGGGACTGTCTGGGCTTCTGCATGTAAAGTTTGCAGTAGCTGGTCAAGTTTCTCATTTAGTATTGCACACTGAAAAAAATTAGTAAGAAGGATATAAATTAAAAGGCGTGAAGTGAGTGGGGGGAGAGAGGAGGAATCATAAGACAAATATACTTGAGAGGTTAGGGAATTTAACCATGAGAGAGAACCTCTAGAATTTAAATGTGAGTCTGTATATACAACTTCCATGATCGGGTATGTGTGTGTATGTGTGTGTGTGTGTGTGTGTGTGTGTGTGTGTGTGTGTGCATGTGTGTGTGTGTTGGGTCAAAGGTATCTTATTTTTTCTCATCTTGAGGGGTTGGAGATGGAGATACCATCCCTGTGATTTCATTACGATAGGGAGCTCTGTGTAAGGAAACTTCTTTTATATCAACACAAGTTAACTCTATTTCTGAAACTTAGAGTCTCAGAGAGTTCCCTAGGGCATAGACTATTCATTGCTATATGACTCTGGGAAAGTAATTTAATCTCTCTCAGCCTCAGTTTCCTCATTTATAAAATGGGATAACAACAGCACCTCCCTTAAAGAGTTGTTTTGAGGATTGACGAAGATAACACATGTTAAAAGCTTTGCAAACCTTAACGCTTTTATTATTATTGCTGTTGTTTTTGTTGTTCTTAAGATCTGTCTGCCACAAGTATATGTCAGACATAAGACCTGAACCCAGGAATTCTCAAATCAAAGGCTGGCACCATCCACTGTGCCTCACTGCTTCTCATTATGTTGGGACATCCTTAATGAAAGGATTTATTCTGTGAAGTTTGGATTCAGTCAAAAGGCTGCATTTGAGGGCCTAGAGGGCCACATGTGGCCTCGAGGCTGCAGGTTCCCCACCCCTGACCTAAACCAATGGACTCTGATCATAGGCATGCCAAATAAACTCAATTTAATAATTTGAGCTGCGTTTATAATTTTATAATTGTACTTATGAAATATGATATATATATATATATACATATATATGTTTATAAAATAGAAAAGAATGGTCCTGTAACTTTTAAATTTTTTAACTTTCAAGAAACTACCCCAAATCCTTCTATGATTAAAATATTCTAAACTTTTTGTACAGGTAGTCTTCCTTAAAGATCAATTTCTTAAAATAATATAGTAAATATCTTTCAATCCTAACTTTTTAAAAATGAGAACACAATTTAGTTTATATTTCATAAACTACATTTTAAATAATGTCCAGTTACATGAACTTGTGGTGCACATTTTGACAATCATAAATGGAAGCTCTGTTCGTGCAAAGTAACCTAGCTGGCCATTTTAAGTTCCTTCTGTGAAAGAGTCTGCATTTGCTGTCTGCCTTGCTGAATAATAACTCAAGAGAAGAAGAAAATGAGGAATGAGGCAAAACAAATGGTAGGCATGCATTCTGTTGCTATTGTGAGCTTTTCTTAGGGTCAAGAAACTTCCAGGTTGGGCCTAAATTTCACCTCCATATTAACCTTTCCCTCTTGGGATGATACCAGTATTCTGCTTCTCCTCTGCTACTTGATGGAATGCTAAGACACAATGTTATAGCAGAAATTGTAGAGTATAAAGGTGATGGCAGAAGAAGCTGTCTGCCTTCCTGAAAGCTTACCAAAGTAGGGCGGGGAGGGGAAGCAACAGGAAGAAGAGACTGCAAGTCATTTAAAGGGAGAAATGTCAGCAGCCATAGTCTCAGTACCAAAAAAATTTTAGTGGAGATAGACAGCATAATGTAATAGAATGGACAGAGGGATTTTGAGTCAGAAGACCTGCAAATCTCAAATCCTGCCTTTGATATCTATCAGCTACATGATCAAGAGCAAATCACTTAACCTCTACCATATAGTGCCCTCATCATAAAGTGGGAACAATAATACCCTATAGCATCTATCTCATAAGGTTGTGAGGAACAGATGAGATCATGTAAAGAAAATTTCAATTATTATTCATATTGTTGGGAAGCTGAGGGTATTAGTGGTGTTAGCAGCAGGGTACTTGCCCATTTCCATTCTCTCTTCTACTTTTTCCTCTTAATAATCTCAAGACCCAGTGGGTCTGGAAATGGTAATTCCTTTCTAAACACCAGTTGTCTTGGTTTATTAAGTAGGGCAAATAGATCCACACTGTGAGAGACACAATAAGGGTTTATGTTAACTTCAGCCTTACTCAAAGACATGAGGGTGGAGGTGAATGGAGAAAGAAGTCAATGCAAGGACTGAGACCTGGAAAAGGATAATGAACCACACAGATTAAGACATGGTGGAAGACATACTAAAAGAAAATCCCAGTAGCAAAAATGTACCTGGAAGAAAACTATTCTCCACCCCACCCCATCTCTTCAAATAGTACCTTTCCAACTGACAACTGTCATGCATTTCCCCCTTCTGTGATGCAAGCTGATTGAAGAATAGGATTGATTCAGTTTATATAAACTTTCTTTTTTATACAACTTTAAAGAATGTGCATATTTTACCTATTTAAGTAATGAAGGTGAATTTAAATATGTCTATGAAAGCTTAATAAATACAAATACTTATATTCAACACCAAATGTCTTTCTCCTGATGCATGAAACATTTTGGCAGAGAAATAAATGCTTCATGGGTTGTACCATGAAGTGTGGTTTCATTCCAAAGGCGTTCTTCTGGACCTATGATTTCAATGATGCCAGGAACTCCTGGTGAGAACCTTCTTATTCCAGGACAGATCGATACCTTCCCTAAGATGTGCCTAAGGCATGGAGCAGGCAACGCAATTACCCAGAGTCATACAACTGGTTGCTCTCAGAGGCAAGATTTACCCCAGGTCTTCCTGTCTCTGAGGCTAGCTCTCAATCCACTATGTAATGATGCCTTACAATTAGACACCCCATGATGTGGTAGGTAGAGAAGAGGCCTTAGACTCAGGATGACCTAGGACCAAGTTCCACTTGGGCTGGGCAAATCACTTAATCTCTCAGTGGCCCAGACAACTCAAATCTGAAAGCTTTGGTACAGGTACCCATCTGCACTGGTGGAAAGATTTTCCTCAACGGGAGTTCCTCACACAGACAATCCCAGATCCAGACAGAGAAGGGGGAGCAGTTGGGAAGCTCCCACTGTTTTAATCTGAAAGATTTTCTTACTTTAATGGTCATGGCGTCTGCTCCATCACTGTTTTCCTCTGTTCTTTCATACGTCTTCCCTACTTTGGCAACAAAGTCCTTTACCGTCTGACATAAAATCCTTTGAGGAAAAAGGAGTGGAGCAGCATTGTTATACACATATCAAAAGGAAGCACCACAAAATAAAGTGCTAATACATTCCTTTTCTAAATATAAATTCAAAAATTGCTCAATGAACTCAAGCAATCTAGCATTTAAAAAATTCATTGTGAGAGAAAAATCTTAAAGCCCAATATTCAATTGCATGATCTTAAGAAGAGTATATTCCCAGATGTCCCTCTTTAATAGAGTTAATTTTAATTATCTTGGTTTATAGCATTACTTCCTCTCTCTTAGATATCTGAGTGGTTTCTAAGACTATTTGCAATGTTGGAAAAGTAATAGTTAATAATATTATGATTTTATTATTTATTTAGGAAGAGAAATTTTATTATGGAAGAGAAATAATGGTCTTTCCTAAATATGAAAGCAAAAATTCTCCCCACCCATGTCCCTTACTACCTCCTTCTCATGCTTTCTTTTTTTGCTTCAAAATTAAAGAGCATTGGACTTAGAATATCATTTATTTCCTATATGTCCTTGAGCAAGTGACTTTACTTCTTCACTATAAAAATGAAGTTGGACTAGGTGACCTTGGAAGTCCCTTCTAGTTCTCAATCCAAGATCTTACCCTAACTAAGTTTTCAAAGGAGACATCAGATAGTCTAACTCACAGAGCTGAAAGAGAGATTAGTGGTTCACAGGGATCACGGATCGAGAGCTGGAAAGAACTGTAGAGCCCATCTCAACCAACCCCCTCATTTTATGAAAGAGAATACTGAGGCCCAAAGAGGTTGAATGACTTTGCCCAAACTTGATGCCTCCCTCTACTCTTCAATCACATTCATCCCATTATATCAAGTCTATTGCCAAGTCCTGTCATTTCTTTCTTCACATCTCTCCTACATGTCCTCTTGTCTCCACCAGAACTACCACTACCCTGGTAGAGATCCTCGTCACCTCATACCTGGAATATTGCAATAGACTTCTGCTTGGTCTTCCTGGCTCAAGCCTCTCCCCATTCCAATCCATCCTTCACTTAGTTGCAAAAGTTATCATCCTAAAGCACAGATCTAACTCTTGTCACCCCACTGGTACCCTGTTACCTCTGGGACCAAATATAAAGTCTTATTTGGTATTTAAAGCCCTTCATAATCTGGTCCCTTCCTACTTTTACATTCTTCTTACACTTTACTCTTCTACGCATTTTCATTGTCTGTCCTTCATTCCTAGATTGCTTCATCTCTTCACCTCTTTATTGGCTTTCTATAAGATGGAGCTCAAATCCCAATTTCTACTGGAGGTTCCTTCCTTACTGCTTATTGCTAATACCTCCCCCACTTATAGTCTCAGTCTCTCTCTCTCTCTCTCTCTGTCTCCCCATACACACACACACACACACACACACACACACACACACACACACACACACACACGCACTTTGCAAGTTGTTTCCCCATCCCGTTAGAATGTAAGCTCCTTGAGAGCAGGGGCAGTGTTTTTGCCTTTCAGAGTTTAACATAGTATCTGACACGTAGTCAGCACTTAAAATAAATGCTTGCTGACTATTTCTTAAGTTCACTCAGGTAATAAGTAGAACAGCCAGGATTCAAGCCCAGTTTCTTTTGTCTCCAAATCCAGCACACTTTCCACTGTACCACATTGCCTCTCCAATTCTAGATATATATAGGATGTCCCAGAAGTCTTAGTGCCCTATTAGGCTTTAATAACTTAAAACTACACTAAGACCTCTGAGATAACCTCTACGTGTGAATAATTTTTTTTCAGATGAGTGAACTATTCTGAGTAATATATTTTATTTCAGGATCTACATCAACTACTATTACTACTGTTACTACTATTAGGCAGTTAGCATTTGTAGAGTGTATTAAGGTTTGCAAAGCGCAGTTCATACACTATCTCATTGGAGCCTCACTAGAAGCTGATGAGTAGGTACTATTATTATTCTCATTTTACAGTTGAGGGAACTGAGGCTGGCAGGCTAAATGACTTGCCCCAGGTCATGCAACTAGTAAGTTTCTCAGAGAAGATTTGAACTCAGGTCTTCCAGACTCCAGATCTAGTACTCTATTCACTATCCAAAGCTACCTGTAAAACAATGGTGCCAAAGTGAAATAGAAATGTGGGCCACTAAACTATACATAAAATCCCTACAGGCCCCATATTGACTTAGAAAACCACACATGTATTTCTTTTATTATTCATTTATTTTGTTAAATATATTTTGATCTGGTTCGAGTTGTGCTCAGGGGCCACGTGTGGACTGTGTGTTTGACATCTCTGCTCTAAGCAATTAAAAAGATGAACTCTTTCAACAGCTATGGCGCCAGGTGGTTCCCCCTACACAGGCTACAACCGATAGAGACAGAGGTCTTGCCTCCAGCAGAGAAAATGACGGACTCTTGTTGCAAGTCTAATGTCTCATCTGGACCCACAACTGGTTTCCAAGCCCAACTCTTGCCAGTAGGCAGAGGGTTAGGCCAGTCCCCTAAAAGAGTCAGGTCTTGCACTAGGTTGACAGCAAAAGCTATAAGGTGTACAGACAGGTTGTGATTTCCCTGGAGGTAGAAGGGACCTGGCACCTACATTATCTCTACCCCAGGGAACAATCAAGGTCACTCAGGGTGTCCAAGAAAACCACTCCATTTACTTTCACTGTCCCATTTACATAAAGTCACACGGGATCAAAGAACAGATCTCCACATATACATAACAATCATATACAAATGCCCACAGAGCTTGGACAAGAGTACTTACTTGACAATATTTTGCAATCTGGAATATGAAGTGTCCCAGAAACTATGGTGTTTGTGTGTGATCTGCCCAATGCCGCACAGATAGGAACACTCCATTCTATATTTTGACGTTTAAGTCTTCTTCCCCTCCTTTCCCTCCATACTCAAGTTGTCTTCAAAAAATAGTCACTTTCTACATTTGTTCCGCTACCTTCCCACTGCTACCCACAGATGAGGTCTCATTACCTTTTAGCTAAATTATATTAACTGGTCTTCTCCTTATCAATATGTCTCCTCGCACCAGCAGTGATCCCTTTCCTCCTTTGAATTTGTACAACACTTTGTCCATATGACTGTTCATCTAATACTTTTTATAATATTCATTTGGATACATGTCTTATCTCTACTTCCTGCCTCTTGCATTAAGGGAACCATTGCTGTTTAACATGACTGTACAAGTATAACCTGTATCAGATTGCTCGCTATCTTGGAGAGGGGAGAGGGAAGGGAGAGAGGAAGAAAAATTTAGAACTCAAAATCTCACAAAAATGAATGATGAGAACATGTAATTTGAAAAATATTATTAATATTTTAATAATTATTAAATACTTAAATTAAATTAAGAATTTATTATAATATTAATAATAATAATATTAATCCCCCAAAAGGAACCATTTGCAATTCACCTTTATATTCCACTCAGTGTAAAGTATAGTGCTTTTGCCATTGTAGATGTCAAAAACAGCAGGATAGATTAGAGCGACCATAGCAGCTACCTATGATATAACAAAAAATCTCCTCTATTAGAAGGTCTGAGAAGACCTATGTCCTGGACTTTACTCTGACATTAATTAGCTGGGGCTTACGCTAGTCAGATGACTGAGTTTTCTTTTTTTTTTTCCATTTACATAAGGAAGGATTATACTCTTTTATATATACACATATACATATACACTCTTATTCTAATTTGTATTGATGATATAATTTTAATTATATCTAATTATATATTTAATTATATCTAATTAATTCTAATTTCTTTTGATGATATAATTGCATAAGAACACTACATTTTCTTAACCTACTTAACTTAAACTTTTTATTAGATGTGATTTGGCCAGAAAGTATCCTTCCAACATATACTCCTATGGACTACTACTTCCTTCATTCCCCTCTCAACCTTTTTGTAGCCCCTCAATTCTATGACTTTGATACTCTGCAGAGCGAGGCAGCCCAGCTAGAATGAAAACATAGATGGAATAGGAGGAGTAGGATAAGACCTGACAAATGAACTAAGACAGTAGCAGCAGTGAGGAATGTGGTCTGGGATGAAGGCCAAAGCTAAGGCCAGGAACAGAGCCATGAAAACCTACTGTGAAGACAAACACTAGAAACAGAGCTGGATGAAAATATAGGCAATAAAAATAAGAATAACTTACAATTGTGTCATATTTGACAGTTAGTAAAGCATCTTTTGGACATTAGATCACTTAATTCTTATAATAATCATAACTTATAATTCTATCCAAGGTAGATAGAACAACTTCACATTTTTACAAATAAGAAAACTGCAAAGTCAAGTTGCTTGGCCAAGGGCATGTGCTAGTATCATTGTCACCACAGACTAGTCCAGTAGTCTATAGTGAGAGAATAGTAAATTAAAGCTACAGGTCATACAATAATCTTACTTTACACACCTTTTAACTGCTTCCCCCACCAAACCTTTTGTAAAGTCTTTTAACAATAAGAAAAATCAAATAATATGTTGTATTTAATTAGCAAAATAGTCAAAAGACAAGAAGAAAAAGAATAAATGCCTTTCATAACAAAAAAAAATAACATTCACAGAATTCTTTGTTTCTTGGAAATATTAATCAATTTATAAAAAATTTTAGCAAAGAGTCCTGAATTAATCTTTTCAAATATAATTCAGGTAATAGTCCTTTCCTCTGAAACTTGAGATTATCATTCTTTTCACAAGGCTTCTCAGAAACCATGTTTCATTATTAGGCTTCTTGATACACGTGAGGGAGGGGTGAACTTAAGGAAACATAGATCTTGAATTAAACTAAATTCATTACATTCACTAAATTCAACTTCCTGATTTCCTTGTCAATCTTGTCCCAAATTCTCCAAATTGATGAATTTGACCTTCTGGGTTTTTTTCTCCCCTTCTTCACTTATTCCCTTCTTACTCTTTCCAGGATTCCTGCTGCCCACAAATAATATGATATAGATTTTTGCTTTTAGCTATTTATATTTTTAAAATATTCCACTCACACTGCCATCACCCTAGTTCTGGCCTTCATTACCTCCCACTATTATGAGTCTTCCTATCAGATATCTCTCCCCTCTCTAAACCACTCTCCATTTATCTGCCAAATTGATGTTCCAAAAGTGTAAGTTTGACATCATATACCTACTGAAAAAGCTTCCGTGGTTCTCTCTTACCTCTAATATAAAATGCAAACTTCTATGACTGGCTATTAAAGCCCTTCACAATTTTCCTCTCACCTACCTTTCCAGATATTATGCCACACTCCCATCTCCCTTCCTGCCTCCCACATTCCAGAACACCAGGCCTATTTACTGATCCCCAGATGCCATCTTCTTTGCACAGGTTATTCCCCATAACTAGAAAGGATTCCCTTTTCACTTCTGCAACTTTGTGGTAGGAGCTTGGCTGTCATCGGAGAGACCCTTACCCACCATTGCACACAGGCCCAAGCTCTCTCAGCAATTGAAGCCCTTTCTGGAGTCTTTGCCTTGGCCTCATCCTTCCCCCCAACTCCCTGCCCCAAGCCTTATGCTTGACAAACTTGGAAGCTGTAAGTATAAGAGAATACTGCTCAGCTTTCTCTGCCCATGAGAAATAATAAGCTGACAACTTGCTCTGGGAGAACTGAGCATTTTACTGCTTTAAGCACACTAAAGTAGTTGGTCACTTTGGGGACTGTGGAGTTCTGCTTCTATATGATGCTTTCTCGTTTCTCTTGGCCTGGTACTTGTGCAAGTGGGGAGGAGTAACTTTTATACTTCAAAGAAATTGATGTGTATCATTTTAAAGTGTGTCTTTTTTAAAACCACTTTTAATTGGATTTTATAGTCCATGGCATTTCAACCCTGAACCTTGCTAAGCATGGCTTATTTTAATCTTGGCCTATAACACACTCCTATACTAGAACAATCCTGATTGTCTTTTCCCATCCCGCACCATTTACCCATGCCTCCCCCCACCAAATACCTTGTATCTTCTTTGCATCTATTTTTTACTTAATTTTCCAAATGCAGGTAATACTACAGAATGTAAGCTCCTTGAGAGCAAGGACTATTTTGTTTTTATATTTGTATCCCCATTGCCTAGTAAATTGCCTGGAATAGAGTAGCATTTAATAAATGATTGCTGAATAAATGAATGAATCAATGATTTCAAGTCACATTCATCTACACACACCTTATTCATTATATATAAACTCCCCAACTCACTTAGCAGATGATATGACCACCGAGTGTTGATCAGAATTGAGTATTTTTGCAAGATGAGCCGCAACTGAGTCTTCATAAGATGACATCTGAAATAAAAGAGAAAAATACATTTGTTTTTTTGGATGGTATTGACACAGCACAGTGACTACATTTGCAAAAACAGACCTGTTTCATAACACACGGAAGGCAGTTGCATCTACATATGCAAACATGGTTCTGTCCTACAGACGTAGAGCTTTCTTTCTTATGAGTTACTTTTTAATTATAAAATTATTTACTGCATGCCCACAGAACATCAAAGAAATTACCACAACCTTTTAAAAAAAATCCTAATGAGATGGAATGTTAAGCTTCTTGAGAGTGGGGATTATTTCATTTTTGTCTTTGTGCCTCAAATGTCTTACAAGTAGTTGTAGGTGGGTACCAAATGCTTGACTGATACAGCCACTGGTACGAATTTTTCAAACTACACTGAAAAATTCAAATTTGGAAGTGAAGTATGATACAAACTTAAAGATTTCTGCCTGACAATCAAATTTCAAAACCTCATGTGGAGCACAAATTTTGTTTTTGTAAATAAATTTAGAAATACGTTAAATCTAAACATGGCAGTCTTTGAAGCAGTCTATCAGCTTCCCCTTCCCCCATCATGACTCTCCATGTCTATATCATAAATCATAGCCTTTCTTTTTTTTCCTCCTCTTGTACATTTGCTCATACTAGGTTCACTGCCTGGGATTGTTCTTTTGTTGATGTTCATCCTTCATTTTCAAAGAGGACCAATGATATCTCAAGGGTAATGTTTTAACTTACTTGTGAATTGGATTGGCAGAGCTGTACAAAGTCATCTCACCGGCTGTCAAGGAAGTTCCATTATTTCCTTTCTAATATGGTTAAAGATGCAACTCTTTTAAGAAGCTTTTAAAACTCAACTTTCTAGCACTTACTTCTTGTTTTCCATTCCAGGTAATTTGTGCACAGTCTATATTCAGCTATTCTAGTTTCCTGTATGTCTTAATACTGTAAATAGAAAATAAATTCCTTAAAGCACATGTTTTCTATTTCTTTTGTATTTCTCCAGCACCAAACACTACTCCACATGTAAAGTACTCACAAGTATATTCATAGACTGTATGCACTAAAAAATTAATTGTTCTATTCAACAGTAAAATACTAAAATGCTTCTGTCATCTCATCAATTTGGATGTTTTCAACAGTGAAGATTACAACCTAACTTCCCATAAGCTCACTACCACAGGGCACCCACCCAACATGCTAATGATCTTTCCTGCTTCCTCCTGACATCTCAAGGATATCAGTGAATTATCAACCTCTCCGACTTCATCCTCACCAAATGGCCAATCCATCTTCTTCCCTTCCCTTCCTCTCCATTACTCTTTGTATACTATTCATTATAAATTCTTTGGAGATTATTTCTCTGTCTCACAGTCATACAACAACACTGATAAAATTCTGGTGGTCAAAAGAGAGGTCTTTGTTTCTAGAAGAAGCTTAAGTGTCATTAAGAGCTTTGCAATTTTCTACAAACATTCCAGGCCAACCCATTCTCTTCCTCCCATTTATTTCTGAGTCCAACTCACTGCCCATTTGTCCTGTTTGGCCCACACATGCATACTAGTGGATAAACTCAATACATTATACATCCAACTTCACATTATAATCTGGGTGATAGATAATCTTCATTCATTTGTTTTTTCCTGTGTGGATAAATAGGCTAAATCCTTTTGAGTGGTTGTGGGTCTCTTCTACAAGGCTCTGCAATATATCATGGCCTTACAAAGCCAACACAATGTCATCCTTGAACAGGAACATCTTCAGGACCTCACCATCCACAGGGAATCCCTGTTCATTCTGGACCCTGTTCTGAACCACCTCCACCACCATGGCCAACATCTTTAGCAAGCATACATCTCCATGCCTTATGGCTTACCTGCTACTTATAATAAGAGGATTATTGAACATCAGCAGGTAACTGCATGTACACAAAATGTTATATTTTCAAGGAATCTGGGATGATTTTGATTTATGGCTGAGAAACACTTAAAGATAAGCTTTCAAACAGTATTTTGCTCAACTGAATCAAATGCTTTGTTGTGGTGTGGTTTTTTTAAAAGAACTGTTAAAAAAATGACAGCAGAGCTATGAATTGGCCCAGTCATTCTGGAAAGCATTTTGGAATTATGCCAAAGAAGTTACTAAACATTCCATACCCTTTGACCCAGTTATAGTACCATTAGGTCTATATTCCCAAAGAAATCAAAGAAAGAGGATGTATGAAAATATTTATAGCAACTCTTTTTCTGGTAGCCAAAGGGCAAGGACTGATTGGTTGTTCTTTGGCATAATTCCAAAATGCTTTCCAGAATGACTGGACCACTGTCATTTCTTCAACAGCTCTAAAAAAAAAACAAATTAAAAAAACAAAAAAAAGGTTCATTTGAATAAAAAGGCTTTGAAAGGCTATCCTTTTTTTTACATGTAATTGGGGGGAAATTAAATTAAATTAAAAACTAAATATTATTTTAAAAAGTGTCTCCCAGCCATAAATCAAAATTATCCCAGATTCCTTAAAAGGGAAAGGAGGGAAAGAAAAAGAGACAAGTGGACAAAAATATTTATAGCAGATAATGCTGCAGCTAGATGATATAACAGATAAAATGCTGGGCCTAGAATCAGGGAGACCTGAATTCAAATCTGAACACAGACATTTAGAGGGTGCCTATATTTGCCTGTTTCCCCATCTGGAAAATGAGGATGATAATAGCATCTACTTCCCAAGGTTGTTGTAAGAAGCAAATGAGTTAATAATTGTAAAATGCTTAGCACAGTGACTGGCTCGAATAAGAACTTATACATTTTAGCTATTGTTATTATAGCAGCACTTGTTGTTTTAGCAAAGTGGGTTCCCAATCAATTAGGCGATGACAGAACAAAACGTGGCACACAAATATAACGTAATATTATTGTACAAGAATACATGAGGAAAGAAATGGATTCAGAGGAACCTAGGATTTGCGTGAACTGATGCAGGGAAGTGAGCAGAACCAAAACAATCCATATACTTACGACAATGTTGCAAAGAAAAACTTGGAAAGATTTCAGAACTCTGATCACTGCACTGATCAATCATGATTCCTGAGAACTAATAATGAATCATTCTTCCTATTTTTGGTAGAGAGGTGACAGACTAAATGTGTAAAAGGAAATATATTTTCAGACAATGTCAGTGTGTGGATTTGTTTTACATTATTATTAATTATTATAAAGGAGGACTTGGGGGGGAGAGGAAGATGAGCAGTAATGGGGGAAGTGATAGTAACACTAAAAAAGTGAAGGAAAGAAAGAAAAGAGCATCGATGAATAACAAAAAAAAATAAACAGAAGAGAACAGAAGAAAGTTCAGATGTGTAACAGAGACAAGAAGTTTTGGAACTAACACATAAAAATTTTAAAATCCAAGTTATACATAGTGGAGATTAATGATTTCATATTCAGTGTCTTTCTGTTTTTCTTTGTATAGAGGGATGTTCATGTTTGTCAAGTTCATGATAATAAAAAAGAAAAAATTTAAAAGAAACACTGTGATGATTTATTTCTTAGCTCCCTTGAAAAGGTCAGATCCAATCCATTAAATATTTGTAACCACCTGCTGAAACAATCTCCTGCTACATAGTAGTTACCTGGTTTTTTTTTCTCTACATTCTCCCCTCCCATCTTTAGACATCAAAGAGAAATGTAAATGCAAAGTAATAATGGTTACAAGATATCTGCCATAAATGCAGCAGCTGTCAGAGTTCATGCTCAGCAAAGACCTTGAAGGGAACAAGATCAGTGTTCGGACTCTCTCCGTGTTCATCTGCCTCTTTATCTGTCCTCTCTCTCCATCTCTGTGCCTCTGTTTTTGTCTCTGTCTCTGTTTCTTTCTGTTTCTTTGACTTCTTCTCTCTTTCTGTGTCTCTGTCTCCATCTCTGTCTCTCTCTTTCTGTGTCTCTCTGTCTCTCTCTCTCTCTCTTCACATTATCACAAAGAGAAGTTAGGAAACTGCCAGGTGGGTGACCTCAAGTTACTCCTCAAGTCAGTCTACCAAGGTCATGAACCCCATAATCACCTGGGGTTGTTAGGGAGTCACTAGAGGCCCAGCAACATGTATTGTTGATTATCACACATCAAGGAGATGACATTGGCCAGAATGTGATGGACCGAGGTTTCTCCCTGCCCTCTTTGATTTCTGAAACTGAGAGTGCTTGATAGCATCACCTACAGAAAGGGCTTTGTTAGCATAGAAATAGACTAAAGAAGAGAAGATATGCTTTAGAAATTCCCATGGAACTACAGGAGGTTGTGGCTTCTGAAGCCACTCTAAAATTTAAAGTTTTTCAATCTTAATTTCAATTTCCTTTTAATGAATTTCAATTAGGCAAAACATCCAAGTAATTTCTTTGGGACTACATCAAGAAGGAAAAACAAAAAGACCTGAGACGCAAATGGGGGCTGGAGGCATTCCATATGTTATGATTTGGAGTGAATTCATTCATACTCCTAGATATGAATGCAAACTCCTATGCCAGGGAATGTATAGAATTGGAGGAGTAGGAGGTGCACCTGGAAAGGCTGTTTGCAATGGAACTGATTTAGTTCAATCTCTGCCACCTGGTGGCTCACAGAGATATTGCACCCTGCAGCTAACACTGAGCTGTGCATGATTCACAAGAATCACACAAACAAAATGTTTCACACTTCATGTGTGCTAGGCATTCAGAATACCTGTGGCAAAACAAGACACTGTCAACCAGGGATATGCTGATAAATGTTTAACAGCCTGGGGTGGGGAAGGGGGAGAGGTTAAACTATTTTAAATGTTTAAATTTAACCTGCATTCCTAAAATTTTCTCTATCACTTTCTTAAGTCTAAACAATCAACAAAACAATAAATCAAGCCCTGATTTGTAATTTTTGCTAATTTCCAAAGTGTAAATGCTCAGATTGAAAATTCAATGATTCCTGCAGTATGAGTTGGCTCCTGCCCTTTGGGGGGAGGGGTGTTGCTGAGTGAAAGAAGAGGGA